AAAATAACTTAGAAAAATTACTTAGAAGTAAGAGTATTTAAAGAATATAAGAGAAAGTTGAATTTCAATAATAAAAAACAGTAATTTATAAGGTCACTTGGAACGTTCCTGCTTATATAAAGGGCTTGGCATCACGTGCCGCAGGAACGTTCCACATGAACCCAAAAAAGACTTCAGATGACCTGTGTTCACGGACAGAAAACTGCCAGCTAACTTACATGACTTAAGTCAGCATCCGTCAACGTTCGAGACTTGTACTGGCGAGTATGTCTAGTACGGCTCTGGAGGTCAGTACTACAATTACGTACTGTCTCCGATACCTGGGTGTATCAAAAACATGTACAGTAACTTATAGTACATACAATTACTATGACTAAAATTCGGCAACCGGAACAAGCTAGGAATAAACTACGAAGTAGCTAGTTACCATTTGAGTACAGTACACTAGCTACCCTACAGCTAAGTAATTTACAATACTCCGCACTCCCAACTACGTCCAGACTTAGCCGAAGTAACTAGTTATCGTTACGAAACCTCCAACAAAAACCAACTTAAGAGTAAACCTAGTAGTTAGTGGTTAGCTAAGATCGAGCACCTTCTATCGATCACCTGACGACTAGGGCCGGCACATTATCATTGCCCTTGACTACCACATTTTCAGTACAGTATTATACATTCACACATTCACTCACCTGGCCCCCAAGCACATAATACGGGGATCACCTTTCTAGACACGACAACACACCTGACTTGCCCCAGGAGCCAGTGAAACTGGCCTGAAGCTCCGCAGTTGATAAGGTAGAATGCAACGGTGGCAGCCGCGGACCCGACTGGGCCCCCCGCATTCGGCTAAGCTTCAGCTGCCCAATGTCACCGTCGCAAATTCAACGATGGGTAAGTTGTTTATCTTCATTCATTCAGACATTGGCTTATCGAGTAATCAGTCACAGGATCCGGATCATGATCAGTTTGTCAGAATTTGAGTCCGGTGGTTAGCCAGTAACTACCTTAGGTACCTTTCCTCGACAAGCCACTCGCAGACCTAACTGAGTACGGAGTACCTCTGCACTGTCATGCATGCGGAGATAAACCCGCTCGCCCCGGACCAACCATCAAGTCAAGTTGGTGGTTCTGGAGCTCGTTACCGTCCGTAGGTCTGCTTGAAATCATCGTTGAATCATTGACAATCTTTGATGTACTTGGGTATTCACTGTTCTTAGCCCGGCAAGTAAGGTAAGCAGGTAGGTAACTTTACTATTTAAATCCTGCCGCGTATCACTATCTAATGTTTGTATTTGCTTGTATGTACTCTTTTTTCTTTCCTCCAAGGCTCCAACTCTCCTTCCCCAGGCCTTCTCTCCCCCACCTCCTAGTTACATATAGTAATTACCACTTTTCACCTCGTCTATCTACCTGCCTGTCTGCAGTCGGGTGGATCATACCATGTGGATGGCGATCGACTCGCAACCCTGCCGCTTCTGATTCGTGGCTGAAGAGACAACTAAACAGGTACCGGTGATAAGGTACTACTGAGTACTACTAGTCTACTAGTCTAGCTAGGTACAGTACCCGTGGAGTACCTAGTTACTCATTATCTCCCCTGTCTCGTTATCCTCCATTCATTTGCTCAAAGGTTATCTTGTTGTCGCATCTCAGTCTTTCTTGGTAATTTTCTTTTTCCCTCTCCGCTTATCCTAGGGTGGTATCCACCACCTTCATTTACCAAACTCAATCAACATCAGCATCAACATCAACATCAACCACAACTACAACCACAACAATAATCAGCTCACAACTCCCTGACCTCTCGCCTCTCGCCTCTTGCTTCACGCCCCCTCCTCTTCTTCTTCTTTCTCCTCGTCCTCCTCCTCTTCATCTTCCTCAACCTAACAAGATATTTATTTCCTGATTCCCTTCCCACACTCTCTCCACTTCGCCTCTCTGTTACTATCCTTACTGGCAATTCGATAACAGTACGTTCCATCACACCACAATCCGAATCCTTTCTCCCTTCCGAGACTATTTGTTTTCGTGTCCGCCCCCTACATTCTTACCCCGGATCGTCCCCAAAACAATCTCATCCCTTGTCACGCCTTGGTTTGAAAAATATTTCCGTCGCTAGCCTTGTGTGTGTGTGTGTGTGTGTGTGTGTCCCCGGAAACCTACATATTTCCATGTTACTGAATTCCCGCCTACCTCTCTCTTTCTTGACTTCAGTGGTCTGGTATCTTTACTTCGTTCGTCGGGTAGTTCTCTCATCCTCTTCCTCCTCTTGTGTCTTCCCGTCCAGTTTTTGACTTCGCCATCCCATCCCCGCTATCTCCTGCGGATTGTATTTTCTTGCTCCGGCACATATCTCAGTCCCGCAATTATCCTTAAGATCTAGACACATAGATCACTTGCCGCTATCCCACTTGACTTTGCCAATTCTGGTTCTACTGTACCGTGCAAGATTGGTCGGCTGATTGTGTCTTTGCTCTTACTTAGCGAGTGGCAGAAAAGTCCCCAGTCACTCCTCAAATCGTCTCAAAAGCATCTTGCTGTTCGACCTCGGGGATTTGACAAAAAATGGCTACCTCAACAACTGGCCCGGAGAGCCAGCATCCCGAAAAGGAGGTGCAGGCTGTCACAATTGACCCTGAGGCCGGCCCAGTCCACCCGCTTACTGGCAAGTCCTGGATGTACAAATCTTTTAAGATTGGTCCATGGACTCTGCCGTATTTTGCCTCGCCTGATGCACAGCTTCTCCTGGTCTCCTTTGTCTGCTTCCTCTGCCCGGGAATGTTCAATGCCGTTAGTGGCCTCGGAGGTGGAGGTCAGCTAGGTTTCAAGGACGTGAACAACGCCAACACCGCCCTTTACAGTACCTTTGGGGTTGTCGGGTTTTTTGCGGGCTCTGTTGCGAACCGCATTGGTCTGCGTTTGACGCTCTCAATTGGTGGTTTTGGTTATTTTCTCTATGTCGCATCGCTACTGTCCTACAACCACAACCAAAACTCTGGCTTTCTGATCTTTGCTGGTGCACTTTTAGGCGCATGCGCTGGCCTACTGTGGTGCGCCCAGGGTGCCGTCATGATGAGTTATCCGAACGAAAAGGAGAAGGGTAAATTCATCGCCATTTTCTGGGTGATCTTCAATCTTGGCGGCGTCATCGGCAGCTTGGTATGTATCCTTGACCTTGACCTCCCATCCAAAACTGACGCTTTTGCATTGTAGGTGCCTTTGGGTCAAAACCTGCACTCAGTGGCTGGTCAAGTAAACGATGGGACTTACATTGCATTCATGGTACTCATGGCCTTGGGTTTCGTCCTGGCTTGGGGCCTCGCGGATTCAAAGTATGTCAAGCGCAAAGATGGCTCGCACGTTATCGTCATGAAGAACCCTACCTGGAAATCCGAGTTTATGGGTCTCTATGATACTCTCCGCACCGACTACTATATTCTCCTCCTCTTCCCGATGTTTTTGACAAGTAACTGGTTTACGGCGTACCAGTTCAACAGTGTCAATGGTGCATACTTCACCATCCGTACACGAGCCCTCAACAATCTGCTGTACTGGCTGATGCAGATGCTCGGAGCGTTCGTCTTCGGGCAATTACTGGACTTGAAGTTTCTCTCTCGGCCCACCCGAGCCAGGCTGAATCTTTTCCTTTTGCTGGTTCTCACCATGGGTGTCTGGGGTGGAGGTTATGCGTTTCAGAAGACCTACACTCGCGAAACAGTCAAGGCGGATACCGACTGGACCAGTCACGGCTTCGTGGGTCCAATGTTTCTGTACATGTTCTACGGGTTCTATGATGCGGCTTTCCAAACTTGCGCATACTGGTCAGTTTGGCCCCTTGCTCCAAAAACCCCCCGTCCTTCATCACTTAATTTTGGGACGTCAATTGAATTTGGGATGGTAAGAACTGGACTAACTAGGTGAATTGTAGGTTCATGGGTTCTCTGACAAACAACGGCCGCAAGCTGGCCAACTTTGCTGGATTTTACAAGGGCATCCAGTCCGCTGGTGCAGCAGGCATGTGGCGGTGAGTCTCCATCATGCATTCCCCTACTCATATCAGTCACTAACTGGCTTGATCCACAGGTTGGATGCGGAGAATACTCCCTTCATGACGGAATTCGCTACCTGCTGGGGCCTCCTTGCTGGCAGTATTGTGATTGCCTCCCCTGTAGTATTCCTCAAGATCAAGGAGCACGCGGACATGGAGGCTGATCTGCGCTTCTCGGACGAGACCGCTCAAGAAGTGGGAGTATCTGTGCCTTTAGAGGAGCAACAGTCCATTGATAAGAAGGATGAGAAGCGCGTCTCTCTCAGTTAACTCTTCTCCTTGACTAGAACTGCGTGTCCCATGAAAGGACGGCAATCTGGTTACATGACGCGATGCTGCGATGATGAACTGGTCTGGCCCAAGTTACTGGTGCTTCCGACCCCTTGACGCATATTCTTGTTTCCATCTTTTAATCTCTTTAATCTTCATATCTCATAATTATTTTGCTGATACCAGGGGTAGGAGCCCTTAATGACATATTTCTTCCACCATTACCCTAGCCATTCAATTTTCGCTTGCTCAATCAACTACCTCGTCTGACCAACTATACTTTTAGTTTCCTGCGTAAGGAAGTGGACCACATGGACTCCAGGTTTTTTTTTTTTTTTTTTTTTTTTTTTTCACCTAGCCCTGCCATCAGGGAAAGCATCGTGGGTGTTTCAAATTGCCCAAGAGTTAGCTACCTTTTACCCGCGATACCAGCAAAACTTGCCTTGAGCCGGAAAACAAAAGAAGATCGGTAGACATCGGTCCATCTATGACTTTGACCACAAACTAACATATAGCTGACTCGGAGACTGTATGCCGATTCTCATTGTCTGTACTATACTGTATGTACACCCGCAGCCGTCCGTGGAGATATATATCATGTGCATGCGTACTAGTCCCTTTTTCAGGCCATACGTCTGCTTGTATGATCTCTGAAGGGACTGGACAGTACCCACAGTGACAGCCAGTGCCTGCATCAGGTGGTGTCTTGCGCGCACATATAGGCATCCATCTCTCTGTATGTATGTATACTGTTATTGAATCTACATTCGACCCAAAGGAATTTGCTGTGTAGTATGCGGTCAATACACATCCCGAACATTCCAGCCTCAGTAAAGGGAGGTTGACTCGCATATTACTTAGCAATGTTGCTCGAACTAGGAATTGTGGCAGGCAGCAGGCAGCAGTCTGCCGAGCTGCATTAGTTCATTCACTGATGGGGATGATGTTCGGGTGCAAGTGCAAAAGTCACAGCACCTCCAGGTCGCGTGTGTGGCAGGGCCAAACGTCTTGACTTGACTGATAGAAAAGGAGCTGAAGGGGTTGCTGGTGTGCCATGATGAATAGAGCAATGGTCTAGATGTACAGACAACACCAGGAATGGTACATTGACTGCTAGACTGGGAATCCGCAAAGGCCCATGGTGGATCCACAGGTCTACAATACGTAGCTCGCTCCATCGGGCGGGGCAGAGCGGTCAACCCTGACTACGTACAAATTAATCAATCTAGTCTACTAGACTCCTCATCTGCCGGGGCGGGTCTGGAGTTGGGAACGCTCTCAAACCAATATTATAGTTCATATACATCCGCCAGTATCATGTACACGTTTATATTCATCAGATGTCCTGCGGCTGATTGTGCAGGTTATATACATATTATGACGGCAGGCACAAATGCCAACTCCGTCTCAAGAACAAACATGGAAAGAGTCATTAACCGGATCCCGCAAGAGGGGTTCACCAAGCCCTGAAAAGGTAAAAAGCCCTACAAACCCTGCCTGTATTCTAGGCCGCAAAAAAAGGGTGTTCAATGTATGTGCGCGATTGGGCACAACAGGCCAGCATCCCAATCAGTAAATACACGCACTTTAGGGGGTGGGGATGGGGAAGAGAAACACGGGTAAAATTGCACTCGAGAAGCGGTGAATAGCATCACAGACCATGCTTAAAGATTCAATCCGAGTTCGGCATCGAGGTCGGATGAGATTGTATTCAGCCCAGCATGCCCCACACCAGAGGCGCGCTCGTCAGAGATTTGCTCATCTTCTAGACCCGGAAGGTTAAGACCCTTCCCCGTCGAATTGAATGTAGCCATGTCGGGTAAGTTGTCCAAGGCACTTAGCCCCAAACTAAAGCCTTTACCGCTAGTGAGTCCGGTGGTATTGATGCTATCGTCGACACCCAGAAAATCGGCTCCGGTGTCGTCAAAATTGATGAGAGCATCGAAATCATTTTGGGTGACCTCGGCATCATTCGCCAAGTCCATCAGTTGGCTCAAACTTAATTCGGAATCCAGATTGGGGATGCTGAATGCGTCCTGATGATGATGACTTGGGTTTATGTTGCTTGTGCTGCCATTCTCGCTGCCGTCGGAAGGCGGCGGGGTAGAGGCAAAGGCTGGCCCGCTTTCTGCAGCCAGTTGTTCGACAAGCCCGGTTGTGTCGGACTTCGGATATGTAAGGTCGGGAATCTTCTGTGCCAAAGAATCTGGGGGTGGAGTCAAGGCATTAACCCGAGTAGTCGCGCCAAGCGTACTGCCGGACCGTGAGTGCACATCCTGTGGCGCCACTGTAAGCTGGATCCCGGCCTTTCGGATCGCAGCCTCCAAAAACGATGTCGCGAAATCGGCAGACGCATAGATCTCTCTTAGACGCTGCAGGATCCGCATGCATTGATAGAATCGTTGAAGGCTGGTCATCCGGATTGTGGGATCGCTAGACTTGATATCGAGAAGATGAATTATGACCGCGGGAAGTAGCACCGTGACGCCGGTGGTAGGGAAATATCGCGTCAAATCAAGACTATGTAGATCCTGGGCGATGTTCGTGATCTCGATGGCAGCATATCTGACCTTATTCCTTGATATTTCCTGCAATTCAGCATCCGTGGATGGAAACGGGATCGCAGGGAGAACCTGCGGGCGGTGCAGGGCGCTGGATGTGGTCAAATAGACCATTTTCAGTAACGCGCGATGGGAATGAAGCACCTCTTGGGCCTCGCCAAGTTTGGCGGGTGCGGCAGGGGCATATTGAATTTCGGTGGGAAGGTGGGCCAGCCAGTCTTCCAATTCCTGGTCACATCGGCGAACCTCAAACGTTTCTGCTGCCGACTTTTTGGGTACCAGCATCATCGTAGTCTCCATTGTCCCGCCAAACTTATGGCTCAAGACCGAATACTGCGCAGATAGTACATGACTGACACACAAGCAGAGCTTTGCCTTTTCAATAAACATGAGGGCTAGCTCCCGCTGGTGTTTCGGGTTCTGCAAGATTTCCGAGTTGCCCACCATGCTCACGATTTCAGGGGAAAACGGCTCGAACTCAAAATCATCAAGGGTTAACATGGGAACGTCACAGTCGTCGTCTTTTACACGCATGGGCCGTCTCATCCCTAGTGCGATCAGGCGATCGCGTGTATATGTGCTCCACCAGATCCGTTTCCACATCCGTTGACGCCGAACATCCATGCGGGAGTTACCCGGATCCCGGTGTAGGCCAATCGTGTGTGCGAGAGACAGGCTTACACCCATCCAGTGCCAGGTATCCTTCTGATCATCCGGTGTCTCATACCAATATGTCATCAGGAGCAGTGATTGAACCAGTGAGATCCGGTCAACTTCGTAGTCGAAATCGTAAAGAAGCCTTGCTCGCTGAAAAAAAGCCTTGCGCGCCGCTTTTCGGGAAGGATAGCCTGCTGCATGAAGGTGCTTCAGACCGATGAACGCTGTACCCGCAAACATCACGGCCTGGAAGAGCAATAGACTCATTCGACGGATGCCGTCATTCTGAACAATGGTCTGCAGGAAATCTTCCAGGTCAAGGAGGGGCATGTAAGTATGCACGTAATGTATATAACTTTTGAGCAGCTCGTTGCGCAAACCCACGTCGGGAACGGTCAACGCCCCCTTCTGGTACAGGTACTCAATGTCTTCCTTTTGAAGACGAGGTGGTAGACCACGAATGTAATCAGGTAAAGCGACTCCGCCCGTTCTTGCACTCGCAAAAGAGGGGTCCAGCATTTGCTGAATCTGTGACGTGACATGGTGCAATGGTAGAGTTGCCGGAACAGCCGGATTGAGGGCCACTCTTGGTCGAAAGCGATCTCCCGAGCCAGCCCGATTGACTTGACTCTGATCTAAAACACGATTATGGATTAGACAATGCTGGGCGCAAGTTGATATCCAAGTGGAAGCAACTGGAGGATCAATACGCACACAAAAGATGAGGGATGTGCTGTCCTTGGTCTAGATCCAGTGAACGTTGGGACGGAGACGCAGGAGCGACATCGGATAGCCCCTGGGATTCGCTCAGTCTGCGGAAGAGGTTGGAAGCATCTTCAGCGCCCTCAGGAGAGTGCGAGTGCAACTGTGAGCTGCTATTGTCACCTTCCACACGTGATTTCCTGTATAGTGGCAACACGGCGCGTTCGAGGTTAGCCGGAGATTCTGTGGAGTGGAAATCAAACGGGAGACAGATTCGACATGGACGAACTTTCTCCTCTTGCTCTCAGTGACAATGCACTCTACTTGATCCAGGCGACAATTGGTGCATGGTGATCCATTCTCGACCACATCACAGCGCACTTTACGAGCCCGACAACAGCAGCAGGCCTTGGACGCCCGCCGTTTCACGGGACGGGAGTTGGCCGGCAGACCGGCTGTAGAGGCCTTGCGCTTGCTTTTGGGATCAGTCTCCATGGGAGTGTTGGATGCCGATGACGGTGATGCGGCGGAATTGGTCATTGTTATGAAGAAGCACGGACTAGGATGGGCTCAGTCCATACAATGGTAGATGAACGGTTGTGGGTGGACAAAAAATTAATATGTTGAAGAATGAAGATACTCAAAGGAGAGCAGAGCCAAGAAGAAGTGTGAAAGGGGTAGTAACAGAGAAGTTATAGAATTGGTGATCAGAACGAGACAGTGACGGAAGAGTGGAGATGTAAATCTTTCTGTGGATTGCGCGCTTTTGATTTTCGTTCCCCTCTAGAACCGTGATATATGCAAGCAGGTATTCCCAAAGGTGATGAATAAAAAAAGAGGTTACGTGAGTCGAGATGTCTTTTGCTTTTGCTTGTGTTCTTCTTTTCCTTTCTTTCTTTCTTTCTTTCTTTTTTTTCTTATTTCTCTCTCTCTCTCTCTTTCGTAATCGGTTCTTCCTTTCCCTGGGGGGATTAAATTCCGGCGAAATAGAGGCAGGAGATCACCGGACCAGGCTTCAAACTTCTCGTCCAAGGGGACGGTAAGTCGACACACGACGCGGGGGTCGGGGAGGAGAATGTTTAAGTACTAAAGTAGGAATTTTAATGAATTCGGGGGTGGGAAAAACGCTCACTCCCCAAAAATGACATCTCCATCAGTTAATCAGTTAGTAAAGTAGTTACATGTACTCGTACGTACTCGTAGAAATTAGTTAGCCATGGGGAGGGGAAGGGACAGTACCAGCCCCAGATCCACTTTAGTCGTAGTTACTAATGCAGTTAGTATTCGACTAACTAAGTTACTCGTTAGTACTCTGTAGAATCGTTTGCCTCCCCCAGACCAGAACCGTGGGATCAATAATTCCGCCCAAAAATGGCAGAGGAAGGAAAGGCGGCACATGGAATGGTAATAAATTATAACTAACCAACTAACTTAACTACCACTCATGACTAACCTAATAACCAAACTACCCAAACTAATTTCCTGGGTTCTAATATTCATCATTATTGTTATTAGTTAGTGATCTTGGAATCTTCTTCTTCTTGTTCTTATTTTATCGAAGAACATTGAGTGTACGGAGTGCATACTCTCGTCGTCCATTCTAGTCTAGCCTACATCCAGACCTAACATACTCCATCATAGTGGTCACGCTGGCCAGAAAAATAGGCGCAACAAAAAAAGCGAAAAAGTGGGCGTTAGATAGAGTAGACTAGTACAAACCGGGTGACTCGAGAGTCTCGAGGAAGAAAGCGGGCCACGTTCGGTGGGGAAGTTCTGTTGATTATGAGCCAGTCATTGCCGCTGCTTACTGTACGAGGGCACCCCCCCACCTATCGTGACGCCGTATCCACCCGACTTCAACCACTTTCCAGCTTCCAACCCCACTTCGCCATCCTCCTCCTCCTCCTCCGAGTCTCGAGCGGCAAGCCCCAGGTTGAGCGCCCTCCCCCCACCCTACCCCACTACTCCTTCTCCAATCGCCAAAAAAACGAGAAATACAAAAAAAAAGGGAGAAAAAAGAAAGGCAAAGTCCGAAAAAGGCGGTCCTATCCAAAGAGGAAAGGAAAAAGGTGGACTCGACCGAATCTGTTTCTCTCCAGCTGGCAGCTGCTGCTATAGCCGGAGGTTTCCGTCTTGCGCTTTCACTTTCAGCAAAGGAAAGACATCCCGGCTGGACCCACTCTTATTTCTCAATGGCCAGTGAGCCAGTGAGACTGTGAGTCAGGAGCCAGTGAGTGGCTGTTGGGCCTCTCAACCGCTCTAGGATTCGAAGCTTTCCCAGCCCATTCTCTCCGATAAAGACCCCATCGGCCCGGTCACGTTACTTGAACCGCTTGTCACAGGTGTGCGAATGTTTGTTTAGTCATGATCAATCACTTAACTAACCAACATTCTTCTAAGCTACCTTCGGACCAGAGAAACCAGGTGCAAATTCAAGACTACTATGGAGTAATTTGTTAGGCTTTCTTCTTCGTTCCAGCCATGGGGCTCCTATGGCTATTCACAGCTGGTGATGGCTAAAGTACTCGGTACTCCATCATGACAGTGCCCCTGGCCGAACAGTTAGCCAGAAACTTGGTCAGCAGCTGCGTCATGCTTGAACCGGAAAAGATTCCGAGCCTGCGCAGCCGTGACTGGCCGAAAAACAAGCCTGTGGTCCCTGGTCTGATTTTCATGAATTTCGGGGTCGCTTCCGTCGGCTCCCTCCAGACTTCGTGATGGTCCATACCCGTGAGGAAGTGCCGAGCGGCCCCTTTGTTATCTTCTAGCTGGACCCCGGGATACAACCATTATTTCATTCCAGTCTTTACTGGACGAGTGAAGAAGGAGGAACGAATGAGAACGTCGACTTTAGCTTTGCTTATGTTGTCCGGGGATCTTACAACCAAATCCCAGCCGTACCGGCTGTCTGTCTGGTATAAAGCCTCTATGACGGTATTCGTCCATTCCAGGGGCTTCGAGCTGTGTCACAATCGTAGGGGCCTCGAAGGAAGTAAATACTATGTAATATCGACTACATGGTATGTATGTTGGCCACGTACCCTTCTCACTATCATAGGACCTAGTCCCTCTTCCACTCCTTGCACGGGATATCAAACGCCGAGTTCATTTATACCAAGAGACATTACCGGTCAGGAAGGAGCATGTGCCTTAATCACCGGCCAGTCGGAATAGGCGCGCATGTTGTGTCCGGGCATTGTGAAAGTGCTCATGAGCATTGACTGCTTAGAAAAGCTGTTCGGCCCTGGTGCAGCACCAAATCTTGTTCCTTGTTCTTGTTCTTGTGAACTACAGTCTACATTCAGTCGAGATGAGGACTGGCCGGCTGCGATTAACTGTCTAGTATCAGATCTCCGCATTTACACATTGGGCCTAAGAGTGGGAATAGCACAGGCCCACATTCACCCACCCCGTCAGCTGCCCGATGTGGAATTGCAGCCGATCCCGCAAGCCGATGAAAGAAGAATATACGGGGTACTGTACTTACTCTACAAGGTATATGTGCAGTACTGTACGGAGTACAGCGTTCAGTAAAAGCCACACCCTGCAATTGACGTCCAAAGGCTTCGAGTAGCCCTAGAGGTGAAAGCACGCCGACGGGGCTACGCATTTCTGTCCCCACGGAGGCTATCCTGGCTCCCTCGGAACGAACAGTCTCGAATCCTTGCGCGAGTAAACCAAACAAGCTCTCTCCCACGTGATGCTCCAGGTTTTTTTTCTCTCCCATACGTGGCCGATGTCACGCGTCATAGTGCCGGCAAGCGGCACTTTGCCTGCAGGGCATCCCCGTCACAGGCTCACAGTTTCTGGACCGATAGGCGAATGATTTGTTCCTGAGATTCCGAGTCGGGGCTCTGGACTCGAGAAATGTTGTCATAGTCTATACCCTATGCCTTCAACCTATAAGCCCTGATCCTGATCAAATGATTCAAATTAGAGGGGAGTAAGCAAAGTAGGAAGAGAGAGGTAATAGGAGCGTTAGCTGTCGGGACATGACGGAGGGCTGAGCGGGTTAATTGGCGATAATCGGAGGAATCCAGAAGCGGGCTTCAACTTACCCCACATTATCACTTGAGTAACTTAGCAGTCTAGCCACAGTAGCCTGTGATCAGGAATTGATCAATGGTTCCAGTTGTTTTGATCCTTGACCAAGAGGAGCGCTGTGCCCTTGCAGCCATCCCCTCCTCTTCTTCCTCCCTTTCAACCCAGTGTGAGTCCTGCTCGAGAGCTTGTACTGGAACATCTGCTTTCTGACTCGTATTCCTGATTTTGATGTATTTATTTTATTATGTGTGTATATACACATTTCTCTTTTTATTGTGCGAAATCCAGATCGATGACAAGCATGGAGGTGGAGCTTTCACAGACCTGGGGACTTGGAAAGGAGGAAATGCGATTGGACAAAGTGGACAGTGGACAACTTCCGACGCCTCAGCTCTCGAAAATCCTTAAGGATTCTTTCCCCCACGAGTGACACGACCGGCGGATCACCGATGTGTTGACAGGAAGTGGAAGCTTGCCAATGGGCGATCTGGGAAAGTATCTTACATATATGTAGTATGAGTAGTAGTAGTATTATTTTCATTAATGTTGATCATCAATCTTGTGGATGTGGGCGGAATGGAAATATACTTAGTTAGTAGTTACAACTTTGAAATTCTAAGTACTCGCTCGTATGCCAGTGAGTAAAAATAGGGACTCGTTCTAGAGCACCGAATCCCATTGATATTACAAATGGAAATCTCCCAACCCGCGCTCCAAATTCCGGTTCAAGGTTACTTCTCCCCCCCTCCCCCCCTCCCCCACTCCCCCCTTCCGGCCTGGGGTTTCATAAAAAGCCCGCCAAATCCGACATAAACCGACTGACTGACTGCACGGCCAGCCGCCCGCCTCGAGTAGGAGGCTCAGGGCACCAGGCTCAGCTGGGCTCATATGCGCAACTGCCTATTTGAGACAAACTCTTAGTGGGCTCAATTATTCTTCCAAGTTATCACTTATACTTGTTTGCTTGGTTAAGGGAGAGAGCAGTAGTAACTACAGTACTATACGTAGATAGTAAGTTACCATGTGGAAGGAAGTGAACTCGTAACCTGCAGGACAGGCAGTGACCAATCTACAATGCTTTCACCCTATTGTCCCTAGTTCATGTGCGAGCAAATGATCGATTTCCATGGTATCATATAGCAGAATCGTTGACTTCATTTCAAATTGTTCAAATAGGGAGTAGTTGATTTACTCGCTACAATGTATCATTAAGCACATAAATATTGTCCGTCTCATAACACACAGGCCCTCGATTCCATGACAAAACGCCCCCTTAGGATATCTCAATGCGAAAAGAAAACAAAAATAAAAACCCATCTACGCATCCTAGGCACCCCCACGGCCCATACGTTCAATCGAGCCCATGATACCGCTCCGCCCCGGGGTGAAAACTGCAATCCCCGATTTACTGCCGCTGTTTCCGCGACCTTGTCTGCTGACTGGCACCCCGATCTTGGGAATCTTCCTTTCTCGTTCATACCCTGCGCCTGTGCTAGGAGGACGGGTGCTGCTGGAGGAACCGCCTTGGCTAACTTTCCGCTGAATATTTTCGGGTGCTGGCTCAGTTGCAGTTGTCGACGGCTCCAGCGACTGAGGCAGCTGGGCATGGGAAGACGGGGGGAGACTTGGTTCGCTCGGTTGAACCGGCTGGAT